TGTGGGTGGCAGGGTGCAGGGCAAGCAGTGCGGTGCAAGTGGCACAATGCAGCACAGTATGGGCACAGTGCAGTGCGGGTGGCACAGTGCAGTGCRGGTGGCAGGACACAGGGCAGGCAGTGCGGTGCCGGTGGCACGATGCAGTGTTGGTGGCATGGTGCAGGGCAGTGCAAGTGACGCAGTGCAGTGCGGGTGGCGCGGTGCAGTGCGGGTTGCATGGTGCAGGGTGAGCAGCGTGGTGCAGGTGGCATGGTGCAAGGCAGATGGCACAATGCCGTGCAGTGCAGGTGGCACAGTATAGTGCAAGTGTGGGTGGCACGGTGCGGGTGGCAGAGTGCAGTGCGGGTGACACAACGCAGTGCAGAATGGGTGGCACGGCGCTGTGGAGCAGCGCAGTGCCAGCCCCACAAGCAGCGCCGCTGCCCGCAGCGCCTACGCCGCCGAGGTGGAGCGCTGCAGCCGGCTGAGCACGCGCCTCGGCCTCGGCATCGCCGCCTTCCAGGGGCTCTCCAACGTGGCGCTCAACGGTGAGCGGGCGCCGGGACGGGGCGGCCGCGGGGGCGCGGGCGGCCGGTGCCAGCGCCCCCACTCCCCACCCTAGGCATCGTCCTGGGCACCATCTTCGTGGGCGGCTCGCTCATGGCCGGGGACGCGCTCTCGCCCGGGGACCTCATGTCCTTCCTGGTGGCGGCGCAGACGGTGCAGAGGTGAGCGCGGCGCTGCCGGCGCTCCGGCGGAGCTGGCGGTCCCGGTGCCAGCGACGCCGCTCCCGTTGTCACCCGCAGGTCCATGGCCAACATCTCCATCCTCTTCGGGCAGGTGGGTGCCAGCGTGGAGGCCGCTGACCACCGGCGGGAGCGCAACGTCACCGCGGTCCCCGGTCCCCGKSMCGGGGACCGGGGACCGCGGTGACGTTGCGCTCCCGCAGGTGGTGCGCGGCCTCAGCGCCGGCGCCCGCGTGCTGGAGCTGGTGGCGCTGGAGCCGCGCGTGGCGCCGCGGGGCGGCACCCGCATCCCCGCGCACTCGCTGCTCGGCCGCATCTGCTTCCACGGCGTCTCCTTCAGGTGAGCGGCGCCCGTTTTGCGCGCGGGACCGTCCCGCCGGCGCCGCTGAGCCCCGCTTGCCCGCAGCTACCCCAGCCGCCCCGACTGCCCCGTCCTGAGGGATTTCAGCCTCACGCTGCCGCCCTGCAAGACCGTGGCCATCGTGGGCCCGTCGGGAGCAGGTAGTAGTTTGGGCACGCGGGCGCCCTGTCCGCGCGGCGCCGTGCGCTCAGGCTGCTCCGCGCCGCCGCAGGCAAGTCCACGGTGGCGGCGCTGCTGGAGCGCTTCTACGAGCCCACGCGCGGCTCCATCACGCTGGACGGGGTCGACGTCTCCTCGCTGGACCCCTCGTGGCTGCGCGGGCGCGTCATCGGGTTCATCAGCCAGGTGGGCGCCGCGCTCCATGGCACGGTTCAGCGTGGCACGGGATGGTGCTCACGGCACCGTCCCGCAGGAGCCCGTGCTCTTCGGCACCACCATCATGGAGAACATCCGCTTCGGGAAGCCGGACGCCTCCGACGCCGAGGTGTACGCCGCGGCCCGGCTCGCCAACGCCGACGGCTTCATCCGCGCCTTCCCCCAGGGCTACGACACCGTCGTGGGTGAGGGACGGTGCCGACGTGGGGCGGAGGGATGTGGGGCGGATGGGACATGAAGTGGACACAGAGCAGACACGGGGCAGACGGCGGCTGTGGTGGACATGGGACTGATGGATCATGAGGCAGATGGATGTGGGGTGGAGAGATGCTGGATGGATGGGACGTGGAATGGAAGAATGTGGGGCAGATGGGACGAGGAGCGGATGGATGTGGGGCGGATGGGACATGRGGTGGGCATGGGGTGGACACGGGGCAGATGGTGGCTGTGATGGACATGGGGCGGATGGGACATGGGGCGGATGGACAGGGCGCGGGTGGGACATAAGGTGGACATGGGGCAGACGGTGGCAGTGGTGGACGCGGGGTGGATGGTGGCCGGTGAACATGGGGAAGCCGCGGGGCAGAGTAGATGCGGGGCACATGCAGGGTGCATGCAGGGTGCACACACGGCACATGTGGGGCACGCAGGGCACATGTGGGGCACACACAGGGCACACGCAGGGCACACACAGCACACGGGGTGCACATGCAGCACAC